GGCTCTCTTGGCTCAAGATACAACAAATGATTTTTTTTCCCTTTTTGGTTGCTCAGGGACACGAAGATAATAGAATTATTGCAGAATATATTTATTTATACCTTCATAAAAATAACATGTGTGTGTGTAAACACGGTATGTAATATGTAAACACGGAGCATCGTTTGTACAAAAGGCTGTTTGTTTTAACGAAGAAATATATTCTCAAAAAATATATTGTCATTGTTGTTAATATTTTTATTATTATGACAAAAAGAAAAAAATATGCTCACTCTGTCTCTCTTATTAAAAAGGCTAGAAATAGAAACGCTAGATTCAAGGTGATTCTGCTGGCTGCTTCCTGTGGCTGGGCTGACATGGTAATTGAACCTGTTGGTTGATTGAATGATTAATTGATTGATTAAAATATATAAATAAATAAATAAATAAATAAATAACCATGGCAACATCGCTGCCCTATGAAAGCCATGTATCTCCAAAACTTTGCATGAGTTCACACAGGCAGGTCTGGCTACAGTGTACTTTTCTTTGCGATGTTAAGTCATTTGAGAATGGATGTTAATATATTTTAATTATTCTTTCCATATTCTTTCCAAAACTGTTATTTCTAACAACATTTTTCTTGCATCTGTAGCTCTTACGTGATGCCCACCAAAACCCACTTGTTTGGCGAACACAGTGTCTGTGTACTGGCGGACTTAGAATCACATTCACAATGAGGCTCCGCGCAGCAGGTTGTTTAAAGATACGGATGCTTTTTGATGCTATCTATGAGTCTGAACTGAAAAAACAACAACTGGGTGATCAGTTCAGACCATGAACAAGTTGACCTCTGACCTGTCCACTGTGCACGTCTCCCTGTGTCTCTCTCTTACACACACACACACACGCACGCACGCACAATTAATGTAAAACATGTGGTACTAAAACTATCTTGGAAGGGGATTATTACTATTAGAGTGAGGAAAGACTGTGGGTATGCGACATTAGAACCAAAAAGATGGTGATAAATAAAGAGACAAGCCCCCCCC